ATATAAATATTCATATCTAGACTTTGGGGACTATTGTGTTGTGTTCAAATGCACAACTACCACCAAGCGAAATAAAGGTAAAATGCTCAATGCCACATCACTTCAATAATGAATCACCTCTCAACTCTATAATCTGCTCAAACCAAAATGTTCACGCATTATATAAATATCCATACACGGCCACAGGTAGCTAGCTAGCAAGCTTATTGTTACGTCTCTTCTAATAAGGCTCCAGATCACGGCCACGGGTAGCTAGCAAGCAAGCCTAATCAGGTCAACACTCTACATCACCATCCATCGACCGATGTGAGGCCATATATAAGATAGTCGAGCTAATGCACCACGTTCTTCGTGGGGGTGATGTAGAGGCAGACGCTTTATAGCATAGGCGATGTGCTATAACCTGCTGCAAAACGAATATGAGGCAATAGCCTTTTTCGTACAAGATCCTACTCGATTGATTGATGTGACATCTGTACAGCAAGCACCTAAACAGTTAACTTGTTAGTTTATATTTCAGAGGTTAGACCTACGCACTAGGTTGGCTAATTTTTAGAAACATTAAATATACCTGAGCCTAGGATTGATGGAATGACGCTTTGACCAGGCACCTCAATCATACAGATGAGGCCATGTTTCTTTTCATTCAACAGTTATCATTCCACCTCTTCTACTATTAAAGTTCACACTCAGTGTCATTTGAAGGTAATACAATTTTACACACTCAAAGTAAGGTTGCTCTATCATTTTCATTATCTTGTAAATCCCACGCACCCGTACACAAACGTGGCTCACATCTTTCGACCATCCCATACCCAAATATACCTATTTACTAAATTGACCATCAGAGTGTTCATGGTCATCTCCACCACTACCGAAGAAGGCTACGTACAACTAACGATTTGTCCAAATGTGTGTGATAAGGAATAATGTTATTTCTGGGAAGTGCTTGTGTGGCACCCCTTTTTTGCTTTCCAAAAAAAAAAAGGAATAACGTTATTTATCATTATGATTATGGAATATTGGTGATGCGAAAATCTATGTGGAATAAGAGGATGGACAGTTCAATTTTTATGATAGAGAAAGTAAGGAAACGTGATCTCAAGAGAAAGAAATGTGAAGGATAATGAGTTATCACTTCAACGATATTCCGTCATCATGATAATAACCAGCATGTATTTTACACACTTATTTAGATCATTAAATATAATTAATTGTCATTATTTTTGATGAATTATTGCTTAATTAGATTTTAATTTTTTTGTTTTAGGTAAAACTCGAGGCAAATTGGGTGAATTGGAAAAAAGAATTGGAAAACGGGCAAAAAGTTAATAAATTCAAAGTTTTTGATCAAATTGCAAATATTCAATAATTGATTCGGACTACAAACAATAACAGAAGATTATAGGAAGTCAATTGGATACAATTAGAAGTCAAAAAGAAGTGAAATACAATCAATGCTTTTCACAAATCGATTTCCAACAGCACAAAGTATGTTCCAGAAGATGAGTTGGAGATTGGGACCCATTTTTCGGATAGTAAATGTTTGAATTAAATAAATTCTATTTCTAAAATATTTGTAGCCCTTTAAATTAGTTTCCAATGTACTTTGAATCACCTTAATCGAATAATGGGAGAAAAAGTTATAACGAAACTACTGATGACTACGCAGATACATGATCATGCGTGCGTGAAGGCAACTTTTCTTATTTGATTGAAATTCTTTTATAACTCAAATTGGACATATTTTTTGACCTAATTTCACATTATATAACATAAGACATGAGCAACCATTAGAGGATTTCTCTCACTTCTCAAATCACATCTATATCATAAAATCTATCAAGAAACGAGATGTAAATTCTTTATAAGTTGGAGAGGAGAACAAATCTAGCACGTAAATTGAATCAAGAAACATCAAGAAATTGATTAATCAAAGCTTGGTATGGATAATCTAGAATAAGAATTAGATCATGACATCTCTCTTTCTTATATTTATAAATTTCGGGTGATGCTTTCCATTCTTTTTATTGTTCTATCTACAGAAACATGTTTAGTTAGATCCGTAATTGTATTGGATGAAGATAAATCATATTATTTTTTTTATTTTAATTTAAGACTAGTAGTTTAGTAATTCTTGTATTTCTTGATTAATTTTGCATACCTATTGCATTATTTAATTGTTTGATCATCGATTATATAATTAATTATTTGTTGTAGTGTTGAGAGACTCGCAACAAATTTACAACACAGCAAAATTGGCATATGTGCAATAGATGTTAGGAATAACATTTATAACATGTGCAATCATATAGATAATTTAAAATTTAATGCATTATAATCATTCGAATTCGGACTAGAAATAGATTCAGGTCATGATTATGATAGATTTAATTTGTTTTGAAAAAGAAAGTTAAATACATTAGTTTTATTGATTGTCCAGAATGCATGAATTGAACAAAATTATAAATCAAGAAGTGAAATAGATAGCAATAGACGATTGAGAAATCTAATGCAATCATTCATATTTTGATACAAACCCTATTTTCTGTAGGACGATACTTTCAACTCAATGAATTTATTACTTGCCAACGATCTCGTACGTTTACGAGTTTTGGACAGACATGTGCAGCTTGTGGAAGTGGGTAGAACCGATATATGTTGACAACAACACTTGTGCAAAAATCGAAGTTAACATAACTTTTGAACTCTATAGGTCACCTAGCTTTCGTCTTGGTTATAATTGGATAATCAAACTTCAATTTGAAGCAATCAATATACAATTCCATCCTAGCAGCTATGATTACAGTTTCTAATATATGAACCAAATAATAATTTTGTAAGCTCTAAATTGAAGTTCAATGTTCGAATTGTTACTAGGGTGAACGTTGAGTGACCTCACGTGTAATTAACCAGGAAAAAAGGAACACATTTTAATAAGTGGGACCCATTGGATTGACACACAAAACTAAGCAACAGCTATCAACTACCAAAACGACAAATCTCAACCCTCCATCCATTCTCGACGATTCCGTCACGTCATATCCTTGGATTCTCTCTCTAATTTTTATTTATTTTTTTCTATCTTGGGAGTTGTGAAATCAGTTCAACAAGTACGAGGAGGAAATACTAGTCGGTTTGGAGAAAATAAGGCAAGAAATACATATACACTCTCTCTAATAAAGAGCAAGAATTTTTTTAATTAATCCAATTTGACAGGTGGATTTATGGAGAAAATAAAGAAGAAACAGTTAAGCGTGCTGGCTTGGAGTAATTCTATGATGGGTGACCCCCCTGGGATGTTTTCTAGGGGAGCGTGCGAGTGAGGACAAAGCATGCTAAAAAGACCCATGTTGGTACAGTGAGGACAGTACGTCGTCGATCTAACGACCAGGACAGCCCGTTAAGTGGGACTCGGGTCGTTACAACGACCATCTTCTTGATACTCTTACTACTGGCAAAGAAAGTGGAGAAATTCTCGGCCAAGTCAGAGAATGAAGCAATATAATTGGGCTCTAGAGTAGAAAACCAATCACTAGCAGTGTTGGTCAGTGTTTGTAGAAAACCTTTGTACATTACGGGATCTGATGCCACCTGTAAATTCATGACGTCCGTATATACGTTGAGGTGGTTGATCGGGTCAGTCGTTCCATCATACTTCATTCGGGGAAGTTTAAATCTGTTTGGGAGTGGATAGGAGAGGACTTCCGACATGAACGGAGTGTTGGGGGTAAACCCCGTCATACCATGGGTGCTTTTTTGAAGTCCATCAGTAATTTCATCATGTATGATCTTGGCTAGTTTGCCTGAGTCCATGGTGACCAACTTCGAGGCCGAGGCTATTGGTGGCACACCCGAGGCCCCGGATCCACCAATATCATGAACTTCTCGAATATTTTGAGCTCGTGTATCGGCCATGAACCCTTCTGGTTGTCCCGCAGTTGGTGCTAGCGGTTGTTCCAGCGTCGGATGAGCATCCCTTTGGCCTAGTAATTGAATTAGCATTGTCACTTGCTGATAAAGGTTTTCGAATGCACCCGTTTCAACCACCTGTGGTTGGGCAACTGGTATTGCAGATGATTCCTCTTGATGAGTTGGGGGGCCCCCAACACGTGGTGGGTTGGGTGCGGATGAGCTTGCCGGAGGAAGACCTGAACGTGTGTTGACCATAGCTTTTGGTAGCATTTCCTACAAACAACTCCACTGATACTACCAAAAATCGTACATGTCGACTTTCGAGCTTGTCGACTGAGAATAAGCATGAACGATGTCTTCCGGTACCTAAAACAAAGGCGTATAGATGTGTCCTCGTTGCCCCTTCGATACTTAAATCAGAGAGAGAATTTGTTAAAATATATGTGCTGAAGAATTATATAAAAAAAAAAAGTGCCTTAATAATGAATTGGAATCATGTATTAATAGATGTTGGTGATACAGTCCTAGTAGGATCACAATGTTGAGATCCCTAGGAGTTCAAACATGATTTGAAGTTTTTACTTGATTGGTTTCGTATTATCCACGTGTTTGGATAGAAGTGGAATTCTGATGGTAGAATCATTTTAGGATGAAGTAACATCCCAACACTAAGACTCTCTTTCTTTTAGGTTTGGATAAGCCTTTAGTCGAGGGCTGCACAGTACTAGGTTTAGTCATGATCTCGAGGAAAGCACAATGGCCAAAGAGTAATTCCCAAGGAGTCATACCAAAGGAAGAAAACGTAATGGTGACAAAAGTTGGAAAAATGTATCATCAGGCTTATTCCTTGGGCTAACCAATTATTGAGATCATCAGATGCCAATTCAAGCTACAATTAGATCCCAATAAACCCCATGGATGAGGAAAATGCCTCTGTCATCTATGATAGAGGCTTATACTATTACAAGGTGATGTCATTCGGATTGAAAAATGCTGAAGCCATCTATCATTTTCATTATCTTGTAAATCACAGATACCTGTGCACTAACGTGGCTCACGTCTTTCGACCATCCTTTTGAGGATTTATGGAGAAAATAAAGAAGAAAGTAGAAGAAGAAGGAAGCTTAAATGGGTTCTCTCCAGTTTCTTCTACTCCAGTTTTTTGGAAATCCCGGAAAAGATCAGGTTTGTTTATATGTATTCTAATTAACAGCAAGTGGGTTGAATATTTTCTTCTTCTTTTCTATTAATTTTTGCTTAATTTGATGTTAGTGATGGAATGATTTTATTAAGTAGATTTTATGTGAAATTAATTATAGGTTTTTTTTATCTATCATAACTTATATAAGTAGTAATCTTGGTTCATTTTTCTGTTAATTACATACTTACTGCAAATTTTAGACAATAAATTCTTCTTGATATTGACAAGTGAATTTAGTTTTTTTATTTTTATTTTTTGTGGTTCATTAGCTAACTATGGTTAGAACTGATTAACGGCTATTTATGTTTCAAATTTTAATTTTTTTTAAAACTCTTCATATCTCTCTGTTTTATTTGAATAATCTTGACCTTTTGTTAATAAAATAATGATACAATAATTTTGCACGTTTACTTTTCTAATAATCCGAAAATTGTGTAATGTTTTTTTTCTCCTTCAAAAGTAAGGTCTTCCTCTCAAAATAGCATTATTTATTGATTAATTAATTGCAAATTGTTGGGGTAGTTGGAGAATATAAGCAAGTCATACTTACTTTTTAAGTGAACTTGTTTGTTAAACAAGTTTGAAAATGTTACCTTCCTCTTACTTAAAAAATAAATATAGTGAATTATTTTATTTTCAAAATAAGTAACTTATTTGCAATTTTGACAAACCAGAAAAGTTACTTAATTATAAGTAATTATTTGAACTTGGCCAAACATCCAATGACTGCAAATGGATTAGTATACCAATTTTCTACCTAATGAACAATTGTGATTTATTGATTTGCGGAAACAGTTGTGGTAGTGGAGCCACCTTCTTTTATTTTGTTCAATATATACCTACTTCTCTTCAAATTGATGGCTGCTTAATTGAAATCTGTTTTTATCTTTTTCCTAATGTACCTACATGGGGAGTAAATTATTATTTAACTTGCTGACAATTTAGCGGGTCATGAGGGGTCGAGAAATAATGTCGTAACCATAGTTTTTGTGGTAGATATTCAATCTAAGTCGTTTCAATTTCATTACATGGTCCCACGATTATTTTGTAGATTACTCATTTGGACCAATGTCCATGATTGTTTCTCACTACTCTTTGTGTGCACCTTAAGGTACTCAAGCAGATATTGCGACTTGTATACTTGTTCACATGAAAAGTAACATGTCATGATGACGACAACAACAATAACAATGGTGATACTTTCCCCATCTTTATAATTAATATGTAGATTTAGAATCTATTGGTTGGTGATATGGATCATTTCTCGCCGGAATGAGGTTTTCACTTTTTATAGCCTAATATTTGACATTTCCACAGTCAAATAGTCACTTTGGTAGAGTTAAGTTTATTGAAACATAGTAAACAATTTTGGCAGTGTGCTTGCATTTTCTGTCTATGGAGTGGTAGTTAGTTATGTAGTTATGTCTTTCTTACTTCCTATGTTTTATCCAAATGCATCTCCCAGCATTTTGGGAGCTCGTTGAATGTATTGACTTTGGTCAGGCCAGATGCTTTTGTGGACACTACTTCTGAGGTTAGGTTCGCTCAGTCTCCCTTTGAGTAGCCCTGATGTGCATGGTTCCTAATGTCTAGACACGAGGTCAAGTCGGACCTTTGTTGACCATCAGACCATTCTACTTCTAGTAACTTGGACATCTGTAGCCTTAATGTACATGTCCATACTATCATGCAGGTGACATGTCACATGCGTCTGATTTGACGTATTAACTACATATAGAAAACTGGAAATGGATGTCCTAGACTCCTAGTCATGTCTCAAACCATCTGTATAATTTTAAACATATTTTAGTCATACATCATATAAGTGATAAGATGCAACATAAGATTGAGTGCCTTCAAAGCTAAGTCTACTTTAGCATCTATAGGGGTGTGACAAGTGACAAAACTTGTCTTTCAAGAAAGCATCGTTTAATAATTGTTTGAAAAGGAAAATAATTGAAAACTTGGATTTACCTATTCTCATACCATGATTTGCCTTACAGTACAGTTTATGTAACAGTGAGCTTTCGGGTATGGTTTTAATTTTAGATGTGAGGTACAGTGAGGGATATTGAGCTTCGGGTTAAATTTTTTCTGTTTAGTGTGCAACCCCCTTCCCCACCCCCTACCCCCCTACCCCGGAATCAAATTCTTGGTTTTTTCCTGCATGGTTCATACTCGGTGGTCAATTCTTTCAGCATCAAGTGCAAAGCATTTAGACAGTGCAGTAAATGATTCTAGTGCTGATAAAGCAATGGAAAAACAAGAAGATTCTATCATGGAAGAAAAGCCGCAAGAATCAAACAGCGTTTCTGCTCTTTCTGAGAAACGGAAGGCTTTATTTGAACCACTGGAACCAGTAAGTGGCCGACGACCTTCAGCTGAATCCTTGCTTCCACCTCCAGATTTCGAATCCGCAAGCTATCCAAAAGGGTGGCTGATTGGGAAGAAGCGAAAGCTTGTAAACGTGGACGTTGTCGAGAGTATGCGAAGGATTGCTGTACAGGAAATAAATCGAAAGGTGCTTATGCCATCTGGCTCCTATTTTCTGATATGATTGAATCGTAAGATATTAATTAACCATAGATAATCTATGCAGGATAGGGAAATCGATGGCCTGAATGAACAATTAGAAGAGGATGCTCGAGTCTTAGAGCATCTTCAACTACAGCTACTCGAAGAACGAAGCAAGCGCACTGATGTAGACAGAACAAATGGTATGCTGCAAGACCAAATTACGATGCTTATGAACATGTTACAAGAGAATGAACCAGAAGAGGATGATGGACCCAACGAGCCCTGAATTTTTTATTTTTTATTTTTTTTAATGTCTTATTCTTTTGTATATTTATAGGCCAAAAGTCGTAAAATATGCTTGGTATGAATGTATCGTCGTCTGATTTTGCTGTTGCAGTTTTAGTTTGGATTACTGCATAAGGTGAGTTAGAGAGTAATTCAAAACTGAATGTATATGAAGATGTTAAAATCATGCAGGGTTTGTGAATGTCAAATTTGTACGAATTACTGATTATTATTTTTTTCCTTCCTCTGTGATATGACATTTTGTCTTTCCTTTAATAAAGTTTTGGACACATTTAGATAGTTAATTTTGACATTAAACCTTATGGTGATGTTATTCCCACTCAAATATTAGTACACTACATCTCTTTAGCGTGCATTGACATATAAAATGGAGCGTACAAAAATTATTTACTTAGTCCACTTTGAACTAACTAGAAATACTTCTTGATAGTGTTCTGAAAAGCTCACTTAGCTTCGTTATTGCATGAAGTTTGATCTTATTGTCTAAGAACAATGCTAAATGTAAGCTCTATGTTGGACTCTTTTTGTTTACACTCCATTGTTTTCAAAAAACTTGTTGGTGGGAAAGTGTGTGTTTCTTTAAAATTGACCGATGTGATGTTGCCACGTGACATAATGTAAAAAAGAGTGTACATGTAGCATGATTGTATTGTCTAATTATGCTTTACATTTTTTTATGTTTAGGTTTTGCCTTAACCCATCTAGATTCATAAAACATTTAAGTTTGATCTTATCGGATTCAATTTTTAGAAAACGGCTACTTGTTTAGTTCTTGTTAGTTTTTTGCTTATTCTACCTTGAGAAAATTGCAACGAAGAAGTCGGGTCACTTGCCTTCTCTGCTACTACTGTTGGAATTAATTGATATATTTGGATCATTAAATATGTTATTTAATGATGTGGACCGTTGTAATTAATTTGGGTGAATTGGAAAAGTCTCCAATATAGGCCCATATGTTATAAGCCCATTTAAGTGTCTTATATATGGTAAGGAATCCCACATCGAAAGAAACTTGCTTCCTTTGCTATTACTTCCGTGGCCTCCACGAGCGGGATTATTTCACTTTTAATGTTATGTAGTGTCAAGGTCAACGTTGCTTAATAATATTTTAGATTGTTTGTGCTCAACTGTCCCCAACAATATGCCCTTTTCCTCTTTGATTCATAATTTATTAACAATGTTACATCAATTTGTTTCTCTATATTTCAATGTTTTTAGATAGAGTAGAAAATATTAAGTTATTTTTTCTTGAATTTTTCTTTCATTCTAACAAATCTTTCGATAATCTGAAAGAAACTCTTTCTTTATTAAAAATTCGTATGATTCTAGAGAAATGGACATTCCCAGAACGCATATAGTGAGGAAACCTAACCGCAGTATAGGCTTTCAGTAAATTTACAATCACAACTACATATAGCTACCAACAAAGTGTAAGGTTTCATAAAGATCTATTTAAGTCTCAAAACCAATCTTCAATATGAAAACCAGAAACCAGGGCATAAATACATAGTTACGAAAACATCACATGTTTGTACACGTGCATTACATTAAAAGTAAATGCCGGGACGAGCCCAAACATTTGGAGCCAACAATCAGGATTCTTCATCAATCTCAATTTCTGAATCCCATATAAACAGTACAAGCACACCCAAGTTACAGTGGCAAATTAGTTTGCCCCTCTAATAGTGAATGGATTATCGAGCTTGATTCTCAAAATCTTCGGAGATATTGAACAAGAACTGTGGCAGAGATGCTATCCTAGGGAGATTGAGCAGCAACTCTCCAACAGAATCCTTCCTGGAAATCAATGGCGCCTGCTTGTCAACAGAGTAATCATTCGGTCCATCCTCAACCTTGATTTTACTAGTAGATGCATAAAAATTGTTTGATTCGTCATCTTTCGTTTCCACCAAAGACATTTGAGTACCATTTGTATTTGTGGAATGCATGTCGGGCTCAGGTGCATTGTCTTTCTGCAGAAGACAGCAAAGAGAATCGACCCTTGACATGAGAGACTTCTCATCAGACTCTGGCATATATTGAATATCACTCAATAGGCATCGTTTGATATCATCTAAGATCTGCAAGCTTTGCCATTCCTCACTTGAAAGCTTTGGATTACTGGGTTCTTTCTGCTCAGAAAGCCGGTGCTCGAGATGGCTCACTAGATCACTCATGGACATCGAATGTTGGAGACCAGGCAACGTGATGTCATTTAGCCCCTTAAGTTGCTCTGTTCCACCATTTTTAAAATCTTCCATTGTTAGTGTCTCCCTAACTGCGCGTAATGGTAATATACATGAGAACATAAAAAAATAGGTGTCATTTTCTTCAATCTAAACTATAAACAAGGTGGCAAGAATTTATCCATAATATATAATAATTAATGACGAGAGCAAGAAATGAGCAGTACAAAGGCAAAGAAGTGATTTTTCGCAATTTTCATATCTTTTTTCTCCACGTATAATACACGTGATCAGTTAAGTCCATTGTGAAATTGTGATCCAAAAGAAACAAAGTAAGTTTCAGCAATAGGCAAGGATGAGCGATTTCATGTTTACTATGTAAGAAGGAAAAACTCTCCCATCCAATTTTTGCCTTGATCTTGTTCTGCCCAAGGAAATGCCTCTGTTTTATTCTTCTACTTCCACTTTTCTTGTTTTCCCGTTTCCTTTCAGGTAGGTGGATGTTTAGACTGTGTTTTCCGTATGCCCATGTATATAAAGATGGCACTAGACAACACCAATGTGTTGTGAATTGAACAACAAATTAAGCGCGTTTGAGCCCCATTTTTTGGCTAAAAATGCATTTCGAAATAGAACATTGATGGAGAACGAGTGGTTAAAAAATAAGAAAAAATTTTGGTTTGTGTGTAATATTATTTTACTGAAGAATGTGTGGTTCAAAAGAAGAGAGAAATATATTTTGGAAATAATGGGGAACAAACAAGGGCTAAGACTCTAATTTAGTATTCAAACGTACCCAGTGGCTAACTCACACAACTTTTCACAGGTCAAAAGTGCATCACCTCTGGCTTGTTAACAAACATGAAACCATGTACTCCACCTTGGGTCTTTGAAAAAACACAAACACAAAATACTGGAGCTGAGAAATCCCCATATAAAAGACTGCCCATGGCTGGCTTCCTCTAATGTAAGAATGGCAAAATGGCCTAGTGAATTATAAATGTTAGGCAAAAGGTTGAACTATAGAATAACAAAGAGAATCTGTCCAATTTTCATACTTTGGTATGTATTTTTTATCTAACAATTTTTCACGATGCAACTAAGACAAAAAATCTCCCTTTCTTCGTCACTTTTCAACTCGTCCATTTCATTAGTTTTTTTTTTAACTTCTAGTCTATGGATTTAACCTTGCAGTCTTTACCATTAGTGTGTAGATTTTCAAGGCGTGAAATGTTATGGCATCATAATAAGCACGCAAGAGTTCTCATAATTTCTTGCAATTGATGATATCAAGTTATCAAAACAACATTTACAGTTGTATCGTCTCAAAGTTGGCTCTGGGAACATGATAAATTTACAGTAAAACCATCACCTCTTTCTTCAATAATGAATATATGTAATGTATATGATATATGGCACCAACCTTTAGAATTACGAATTCCTGAGCTAAAATCAATAGCTAGCATGACCCTACATTCTCATATTAGTGATCAACCATCTAAACCTCCTAGGGTACAAACAAAATGATTGGTGTGATTCAACAAGATAAGAGCGTCTACTCCCATAATTTTCCACTTTGCCACCTTCGCAGATAAATTCTGGTTCTACTCCTAGTATTCAACCAAGTTAAAGTATAAACCAGTCATCAACCAGCAATTAATTAAGTAAAATGATGTGCATTCCCAAATAGAAACCTGAAACAATAGTCTCATTTTGCCCATTGACGTTCTCTGTATCAAACTGTTAATATCTAACACCCGAAACAAATCATGTACAAGGCAGACCACATCCAATCAACATGAAAAGCAATTCAGAATTATCAAAAACCAGTTAGTGTCATGTTTATGCAGAAACAGTTCCCACATGAAATCCAATGTTACAAAGACATTCGGAAACTTTATTTGAAAATGTAGTCTTCTAACAATCACTATCACTGTAACGACCCAAACTAAATAGTTATTTCATACGTACCGTCCATTCCGGGAGAGCCTTGGCCCATCTTACCTCACACGGATTTCTATCGTGTCCCCAGGATTCGAACTCTTGACATTTCACTTAATAATGACTTAAGTTCAGTCCTAGTACCAATTAGAAAAATTATGCATGCTTTTGATATGCATATGCATTTCCTTACCATATGCATATCCTTACCAATGGATGTTTATTATGTTGATAGAAATTAAATCGTCATTCCGCATTTATGATTTTAAGAGAAAATTAAATTATACTACTACTTCCAAATCAAGGTATCTAACTAGATTTGGGGGTGTTACAATCACGTTTCCACCAATTGCAATTTAACTTTTTTTTCTCATAAACACCTATTATACAAGAAGCTATAGGGGGCCGTTACATGTAATATACTAGTAATCCCAATAGTTCTTTCAAGTTGCCTCTCCTAGATTTATAACTTGACAGGAAAAGTTCATTCGACTTGGTCAACAACAAAAAGTTCAGAAAGTTCCCCTGAGAATAGCTTAGCTCCATAAGAAACACATCCAATTATGCTAAAATTCATTCCATACAGGTACATCCAATTATCATCAAATTCATTCATCAGCTATACCTTTAAAGTTATATGCTCTACCCAGATTACACACTGTGTTCTGTTAACTGAGAATGACTGGCTCATTCCAGACTCCTCAATCTGCATAGACGGGGATATAAGCCAACTAGGTTACCACATTTTACCACACCTTTCAAGTTGCACAGACCATGACCATTACTTTATTGAGTTAAAGAAAGATGTGGGGTATCAAATATGTATGCCAAAAAGAAGTAACAACTCACGGCA